CTTCATGAGTCGACTTGTATGAGTTATAAGTCAACTCAGTAGACGAAAATATCTAACTACATAACATATCATAAGTCGACTTATGATTCGACTTAAACGTGCACATGACCTGAAATGCGCAGTATATTTCAACTTTAAACCTTGTTTTAAAATATCAAAAAATTCCAAAAAATATAAATTTTAGGGAATTGTTTATAAACATATAATGAACATGTTATAAAAGAAATTTTCTAAATATCATTCCTCATTTGTGGAATCTCTCAGTTTTGCAAAACTTGTAAATACGTGTGTATATAAATTTCTTAATTTTTCACTTTTGAGTTAAATAATGATTTGAAATCTTTTCAAATAGTTTTATAGACTTAATAAAATATGTATAAAGAGAAATTTAAGTCTATAAACTAATAACTCAATATTTTGTCAAAATTACTCAAAATCAAGAATTGTGTGTGGATGATATTGAGCTTAAAGCGTTTACACACAATATAACAATCCTAAACTAGTGTACCAAGTTGATTAGCACATGAAGCTTGATCTTAGATCTTAACTTGACTTGTGCATAGCTTCACTACGATATTTCGCCAACCTCCTTTTGATATCATCGTGAAGACGTAATCCAACCATCCTCCATTTGATATGAGCTAAAAACAAATCAAAACAAACACTAGAAACTATATTATATATTATTTGTTAAATCATCAAAATAAGATTCGAGTGTAGGCTCATAATCATGAGTCCAAACAACATGGAGTCTAATTTTTTATTTAGAGGGAGCGAGACAGAGCAAGAAGAAGAAGACTTGTTGTGTTTGGTGGAGGAGGCCAAGGATCTTGAGGCGGCCAGGTGGCGGCGAAATGCTTTGTGCGCCATGGCCCTCCACAGCACCTTGGCCTTGCCCACAGCTCTCTTCTTGCGACCCCAACTATGTGCTCGAATCCAGGGGAACAGAGGAGGACTTAGCTCTGGTAGGTTGACTAGGAGAACAAGATGAGGAAATAGCAGTGGAGGGAGAAGGGAGGACTGAAGGAGCAAGGACTGGAAGAGCAAAGCCGCCAACTCCTTGGGCCTGGAGAAAGTGCAGCCACTACTCACACTCCACCGTCATATTGTTGTTGTCCCAGGTCACCTCAATCAGCTTTGGTTCAGCGCCAAAAGGCTGGAACTGTTGAGGCCCCAAATTAATGCTATTTGACCTAACAGTGGGCCCTTCCACCAAAATTGTCGTCACTTTCAAATTATGGGATGAAAAGACTGATTTGCCCTTGTCTTTGTCCTTTTGAGATGGCCGCTCTGGTGAGGTCTGATGACGATTAGCCAGCGAAGCTTGATCGACGACCATGTCGGACGAGCCCCTATCAACCCAGCCCGACTCTGAAGAGGAGTTACCCTCCCACTTAGCTTAGTGCTCCTGAACTTCTAGTTTCTTGAAAGCCTACTCAGAGATAGGCCTACCAATGATCTGAGTAACTGTGTTGCCCTCCATGAGGCTACCATCAACAGGGCAGATGTAGCAGTATCTAATTCTCTTTGGGATATCGAAGAAATCCCTTATCTTGATGAGGACTTTGCAGTCCCTAAAGTTGTCTCTGAAAGCCACGTCCTTGGAGCTCATGATGCACTCTTCGACATCTTTGAACAGGGTCTAGAGGAACTCCCAGAACCATAGGTGGTAGGGCAGCCTGTAGATGCGAACGCGGGTAAGAAAGGGCTTGGGGAGGATGGAGAGGCTAAGGTCCTCCCTCCATCTGAGGAATCTACCCTTGAAGGAGCCCATGTATATGAGCTTCAGTTCCAAGGCTTGGTCGAGGAGGTCAATAGAAGGAAACTGTGCCATAAAGCTGGCACCCACTGCTCGCTTGATCTAGAAAGGTCATTCCTGGAGGTTGAAGCGGTAGAAAAGCATCTCCCTGAGCTCGGAGATGGAGGGGTTTCCATATGCTAGGTAGAAGATGGCATGGGAGGAGAACTCCTGAATTAGATCGCTAGATTCTTGGGGGATCTAAAAAAACCGGATGAAAGGCTAAGGATCTGAATGCCTGAGGGCAATCCCTGGAGATGTGGTCATTTTTGTGACATGAGAAGCAGATGAAGTCTCCTTCTGGGCAATCTCAAACCGTGTGAGAGATGTTGTGGCAGAAGAAGCACTTGGAGGGAGGGAAAACAGGGAGAGGTGCTGGAACCCTAGAAGCACGACGTAATTTCTTGCGGTTGATGACTGTAGTCCAGCCTGCTTCGACTGCTAGGAGAGGAGGGAAGTGAGGAAGGGGGAGGATGCCCCTAGAGGATTGCGGAAGATTTTGATTGTGATGGCGGTTGAGGGATTTTCTAGAGAAGAGGGAGGCAAAGGGTTTTTGGAAAAGGAGGATATCTAATCGATTGAGCTCCCTTGGAAACATGCGAAGGGAAGGAGGGGCGGGAAACACGGGTAGTGGGGTGATGGGCGGTGATGGAGAGAGGTATGATGGTTGTAGATAATAAAAATTGCCTTTAATCCTTATCAGAGAAGTTCAGAACAAAACTGCTAAAACCTCGCCCGAAATAGCAAAAAAAAGGGAAAAACACAGATACCTTCCAAACCGTAAGGAATTTGGCGAAACGGAGGAAGCGAACCAAAGCCTTTGGCTTGGTTCGGACGGCCCCATCTCGTCGAGATAGGCGATTTTCATATATAATTCGTCCAATTCCGACTTACGGTTTGAAAGTTACGGCCTATTCTTCGATCCATGCTCAGGAGCTCACCTGCAGCTCGAATTTCGCCTGCACGATCAAGACCTAAGTCTGCCTGCGCACCTGAGCTCGCCTGCAGACCCAGTTCGCCTGCAATCTCGCCTGCAGACCTAAGTCTGCCTGCGCACCTGAGCTCGCCTGCAGACCCAGTTCGCCTGCAAGCTCGCCTGCAGACCCAAGTCTGCCTGCAGTCCTAAGCTCGCCTGCAGACCCAAGCTGCAGACTCGCCAGCTCACTGTCAACTGCCCACTGGGAGCATGGGAACAGTTACATCAGTGGTCAAATCCCACAAATCAAGGGAGAAAGCATGGCGCTCCTCACCTAGCAAGAATAGGCTCATAAATGCAGCTTACCTCACTTGTCCAAGCAGAAGGGAGGGCCGCCGGCGCTCAGTGAGTTGGCCATATCCACTCGAGTATCTGACAGCCGCTGTCACGCATACGAGGAGGGGCTTTCTCATTCCTAAGTGACGTGAGGTAAAACATGGCTCCTCGAATGACCGCTCCTGTTGCAGGTGAACAGTAGGATATCTCTGAACGACGTGTGGTCACATCCCATAATTTAAGGAGCAGTCAAGCTGTCTCCCTTGCATTTAAGAGCCTCTTCCAGCAATCTAAAAGGAGAGGTCGAACGATCCCAGAAGAGGGGGATTGGCTGTTGCATATTCTGCTGGCTAATCTCCCAAAGGTTGGACCTGGACCTTGACCAAAGGCTCCCTCATTTGAGAACTGAAGCTCCGACAGCAACTTCGATCGGATCGTCCAAGGGAAGCAGACTCGACACGAGCATCGAGCGAAGCGTCCTATAGCCACCTAAAGTCCCCACACAAAACAAAAAGGGCATTCCCTCTGCTTCTGTTGTAATCATTTGATTATTAGTTTGTAATAAGCTTTCTTATCAATACAAACGAAACTCCCTGTTTTCGGGAAATCAAATTTACACCCTACAACGGTTGCTAAGGTGAACCGCTTACCTTCTAGGTGAGCAGAGTGTTTCGCTGCTCTCCTCCTCCTCCCATCCATTCTTTGATGAACAATTAAGATTCTAAACTAGTTAGTTTGGCTAATAAATTTAACTAGCAAAATCATCAAAATGGACCCAAATTTCAACTATTATTCCCCTAAAAAAATAAACAATATTAAAAACAAATTATTCAAGAGCTTGTGATTCCCGCTGTCATAGCAGATCAAATGCTTTGATTTAGGGAAGAGAGAGAGACCATCACTTCTTCTGATCAAGGACTGACCCTGTAATCCAATCAACCAAAATAATAAATTAGTTCCAATCAAAATGGCCATAAAGGATAAATTTCACTACGGAATCATGTAAATTTTCCCTAATTGCAGCATATGAACAAGAAATCTCACACAATAGTGAGACAATAACCCTCAAATATTAAGCAAAACCCAACATGCAAAAATAAACATGCACCACACACTCACCTCACCTCTCTGTCTTCCCCTCCAGGCTAATTCTCAGGTCTTTTCATCTTCAAAATCCACCAAGCATCTCTTCTTCTTTATCAGCATCCATACCAAATAAATAAAAAAGATCCAAAATCCAAGTGTACACCAATTCCAACCCATTCCCACACCCTCATCGCTTCTATTTCTCCTAATAATACCCTCAAACTCAACTACGAGCAATATCTTGTAAAAAAAAACTAAAATAAAAAGGTATCAATTAGAAGGGGCGGAACTTGAAAAAGAAAAAAAGACGCATTCAGCCTTTAAACAAGTGTTTTTATCTCACACATGATTTTTTAAGAAAGAAAATGATAAGGGCACACCCCCAACCACATCCCAAACCATACACCCTCTCTCATATGCTACAGTACACCGAGCCCCACATGGGATTTTAAAATTTTAAGATCTCATGTGGGACCCGGTACTGTAGCATATGAGAGAGAGGGTGTGGTTTGAGATGTGGTTGGGGGTGTGTCCCTAGTGCCACCCTTTTAAGAAACTAGCATTGGAGATGTGGCAGCCAGCTTTGACCGTAGTAAAAAGGGTATGATGGAACTATTACCAACTAAATAATCATGTTAAGTCTAGCTAATTTATTGCACTAATAATATTGCATCATTGCACTAAACATTGATGAATGAATATATACTTATAAGTGGATGGCTCATCGTGAAGGGATATATATAGTGGATCAAATAACGCAGCTGTCTTATGCTCCACTACAACATACCAATTATTTCATGTGAACATAAACTAACATTTCAAATTAAGAACTTCTTTCTTTCATTTTTCACTCAAAACGTGTAATTAATCCTATAGAAATCGTACATGAATCGTACATGAGCCAATCGCATTCACACATTAATTTCAACATATAACATCAACGCTATAGTGCCACACAGTCATCAAATGCTAATACAACAAATTCAACCGAAACATAAATAAATAAATAGATAGAAAAATAAGAACACGCATAAAATTCTCAAATCACGACGCTTGTGCCCGGGGTCGTCGACCACGTACAGTTTCTCTTGAGACGAAACATGCGGTCAAGAGCCGATAAACATATGAACTCTTATGGCGATCAGAAATATGGCAATGAAACCAAAGTATATGATCGAATGAACCAATATCGATACCCCGCTCGTCTGGAAATTGATGAACTCGACTATCCTGCTCCTGCCTGGCAGCTGAAAGATGACCCCCGGCGATAGAACTATGAACAGGATGACTGAGATGAACACTGGACCCCAATCAGTCATTTTTTTTGGTAAATATATTAAGATCTTGTTGTATCCTCTTTTGTGTATGGATGACTGCATACGCTGTGGTATTTATGAGGAGGGCTGGAGATACTAAACCCTGCTTGTACGGTTATATGTCACACTAGGTGTTACTTTTTTTACGGTTTTTTTAAGGTTTGCTATCTTGTTTTTTTATTTGTTTTGCGTTCCCAGGGATTGATAAAGTGTTGGCGGTCTTTTGCTTTATGCAAGTTGTTGAGCTGGGGAGAGAGGGGTAAAGGGATGCTTTTCTTGAATGGAAGAAAGCTAGATTGTTATCTTCATGGGGGGGGATTATTTACATCCTGGTACCTGTACATGTTGAAATTACTCGGATTTTATGCCTGAGATTACTGGATGAGACTACACGGATAATCTTAATGAAAGTAATCTGAAGGTTACTGAGGGCTACTCGTGTTCTCGGTCGGTAATCTCAGTTTTTGTTACTTATAGCTCAATTTAACTTCTGTTAAGTTTTAAGAGGATAAGAAAAAAAAAATGAATGAAAATGTAATCAATTTGTCTTAACTGTTAGACATGATAGTTCGAAATTCCCCAAATTCATGGTAACTTTTTGGGAATTTATCTAACAGTCAACGTCTAAACTGAACCAATAAAAATAATACATAAATCAATGCAGTTACTAACTTTAAAATCAATCAGTGTTGAATAGGGTGTTAGGGTGTTAAGGTTTTGGTTCCCATGTAATTTTCTACATTTTTTTCATCTGCAGAGATTTTGAGTAGGATGCTCTTGCTTTTTTGTTCATTTGTCGGACTCAACTTTAAATAACCTTGTTATCTTTCTCTCCTTTGGAGAGTGATTGGTTAATGTCAGGGGCGGATCTATATACAATCCAAGGGGAACCACAGCCCCCTCAAAATTTTGGGATCCGCCCCTGGCCCCCTGCCTCCAACTTTGCTCTTTTCTACATAATTTTGAGAAGTTTTAGTTATAAAAAATTAGATGATCCTTATTTGAATATTTTCTATATAATTTTTGTCTTCCTCTTTTGAAATATTTTGTAGACATTGACGTTGGTTATTCTACTCATTTTGTTTGGGTTGTGGTTTATCTCTTTTGAATAAAATTGCATTAAGAAAAAAAAATTCTATTTTTTGTACACGGCCCCCCAGATCTGAAATCCTAGATCCGCCCCTGGTTAATGTGACATTTTATGAGAAGAGATACAAAATCCCACCGTATAGTATGGTTCCTTCTTTGACTATGTGTTGATTCAATAAATTTCTTTATTAAGGTTTAGTGTCTTTATTTTTCTTTATTTATTTATGTATTTGTTATCCATTCTTGAAATTGGTAGGCTGTTAGATGTCTTTTGCTTTATGCAAGAGATGGAGGGGGGAGGGCCAAGATATGCTTTCCTTGCATGGAAAGCTTTAAAATGTTGGAAAAATTAAAAATAGGGTGTTTTAATTGTTTTTGGGCCAGTTAAGCCCGACGTGGAGCGGCCAGAATTTACCCATTATTACGTTCACACCAACATACAAATATATATCTAGCTCGGATTTGCATCTGATTGTCGGCCGGAAGCCCAGGTGACTGAAATACGATCGACCCGAAAAGCATGCCAAGACCCAGCTTGGAGCGGCCCAAAATCTTTTATTTAATTTTATTTATTTATTTATTTATCATTTTTTTTCTTTTTTTTAACTGAAAAACAGGGTGAGGTGCCAGGTGACTGAAATACGATCGACCCGAAAAGCATGCCAAGACCCAGCTTGGAGCGGCCCAAAATCTTTTATTTAATTTTATTTATTTATTTATTTATCATTTTTTTTCTTTTTTTTAACTGAAAAACAGGGTGAGGTGCAAATATGCTTTTTCCAAAATAGCATGGAATCCAATTCTTCCCAGCAAAATTCAGATTTTCATTTGGCTTTTATCTCTGAATCGCCTACAAACAAAAGATAATCTCATGAAGAAAGGGTGGCAAGGCGATCCTAAATGTGTTCTATGTGATGTGCACATCGAATCTAAAAATCATCTCTTCTTCTCATGTAAAACATCAATGGAAGTCTGGCAACATTTTAGAAAATATTTCTTACCTTTTAATTGGCCAACCTCTCTGGATGATATGTTGTTATCTGTTGCATCTCTACAAAAGCTTGATGGTCTCACATGGCGCACCATCTTATCTGTAGTCTGTTGGGTTATATGGACTTCAAGGAACAAATTTATCTTCGAGCAGAAAACTTTTTCAGCTGAATCTATTATTAACACTTCTATTCTTGCTTTGTATGAATGGACAGAATCGGGAAGAAGGAAGGAAGCTTATCAGTTGGCAAAAGTGTTCAAAGCAAAACCAATCCCTCGCAGCAGCAGCTAAGAAATCTGGATTTGTCTAAGTGTGATGTACATATATACTTTTGTCAGTGTTATCTTGTCTTCTGTTTGATTTATAGAAAATTTAATTTCTCTTTTGCTACATGTATGGCCGGCTTTGGTTCTCCTTTATATCTATGTCAACGATGAATGACGGCAAGGCCCTCTCTTCATCTTCATGGATGTTTAGGAGAAGAAGGTTATACATCAATGGTTAAGAGAAATTAAGTTTTCTATCTATCAACTGACGGATACATTTCGTATCCAACTTTTGTAAGACACTTATATTTTTATTAAATGAACAGGGTCCATCCCTTGTTTTTCCATCAAAAAAAAAAAAAAAACAAACAAATTTTATTAATGAAGAAGCCATAAATTTTGCAGGAAGTACCATGAAATTTCACAAATTAAAAAAAAGAACTCTAACTTCATAAATTTATAGATTAACCCCTAGAAACCTAAAAAATGAATCTCATAAATATTATATTTAGTCGAGGGTTTTAATAAATAAATAGTATGAAAATAAGAGTTTTATTAAATGAACCACAAAAGACAGACTAGTGGTGAGATTTAACAGTTACTCACATCAGAATGAGCAAATATTTTTGCTTGTAGTTCCTGATAGTTCATTTTGTTAATCGGGTTGAAAACTTGTATTCAGTATCTCCTACATCATTAACTAATAAACCAATACAAATGAATTTTTTTTTTAGGATATTTCGTGACACCGCAAGTAATTTGAAAGTGACGTTGCAAATAATTTGAAAGTGACATAAATAGTAACGCATCAGAATGTGGGAAGTGTGTTTGGGATTTTATCGAGATTAATCTGCGGAATTAAACACTAAACGAATAACGACACCAATTAAAATAGCACAATCAAGCAAACACCAAGATTTAACGTAGTTCGGCAAATTGTGCCTACGTTCACGGGGCAATCCAGAGATAAATACTTTACTATGAATCAAGAGTACAATCTCTTCAAGTTCCACCTGAACTTGAGGATTAAATCACAAGAAAAAAAAATACAATATTACCTCTAGGGCATCAAAACCCTAAAACCCGTCTCACCAAAAATTTCCAACACCCACAGAGAAACCAACACCATACTCTTGACGACGTCGTCGTTCTAAATACAACGGTTTTTGAATCACTATAATCGGACAACCGAGCTATCCGAAATCTCACACACACACTCTCTATCTCTCTCCTCTCTCCCCACTTTTCTCTCTCGGGTTACTGTTCACGGTTTATTGTAGCACCAAAAAAAATTACAGGTTTCTCATGAATAGAATTTATTTATAAAGTAATTTTATTTTCAGGTTCTCCAAACTTATTCCTATTACAACTAGATCCTTCAAATCCTCTTCTAAATAGAATTTTAATTCATGAGGACCTCATGTGGGACTTATCTTGAGTTGGACCCACAACAATCTCCTCATCCAGCCCAACGAGGGGGTAGCCAATCTATAACTCCTCAACGGGAGTTCATGCCGGTTCAATCACCGACACAACTCGGTCTTCTTTTTGGAAACGGTCTTCGTTAAAAAATCTGCTGGATTTTTATCTGTGTGAATATTCTGTAGCTTTTGCTCCTCTTTCTGAATCGGCTTCTCTAAGCCAATGATATCTCACATCAATATAGTTTGTCCTGGAGTGAAAAGTAGAGTTCTTGCTTAAATCAAGAGCACTTTGACTATCAATGAAGATTTGATAATTGTCCTGTTGCAAGCTTAACTCCTGCAGAAATCTTCTCCGCCAAGTCATCTCCTTACCGGCTTCTACAGTTACAATATATTTCCCTTCTGTTGTAGATAAAGCAACACACTTCTGTAACCTGGACTGTTAAGATATTACTCCCCCTGTAAAAGTGAACAACTAACCTGAGGTAGACTTCATGTGATCGAGATCACCTGTCATATCTGCTTCTTCAACACCATATAATAACGCCTTCGAACCTCTATAACTCAAACACAATCTGAAACTGCCTTTCAAATATTTTAAGATTCACTTTATATCTTCCCAATGAACTTGTTAGTATATTATGATTGTTTGTATTATGATTGTTTGTTAGTTTTTTCTTTGAGAGCATTGATTGTGACGAATCCTTTGCACTAGTTGTAAGGATAGAGTCAAATTCTTATATGTATTTTATATTTGTAAGTTTTAAAGTTTTCAAACTATTTCAAATGCCAAGAGAATGTTTTATAAGAGGTGATTTGGGCATGCTTATCATTTGATTCAAATATTTGCTTGATCATTTCTTATCTCCTTCAAAAATTGATGTTTGCATAAATTTGTTGGCCTACATTTGGATTTTAAATCATCTCATAAATTTATGGGTTTTCATGAATTTTATGAATTTTCTTTCATGAATTTTCATAAATTAATTCATGAATTTTTATTTGATATTATGATTTATTCATGGATTTTCATAATTTTTCTTTGTGAGTTTTCTTTCATGAATATTTCTGAATGATGTTTGGATTATCATTTCATTGCCATTGAAGATTTGTTTATTATTTTATGTGGTTAGTGATTTATGTTTGTACACACAACTATCATGCATATATTCTTTTGTGATGCAAAAAATGCTTATAATAGAGGGAGAAAAAAGTGTTTTAAGCTTGTTTGATTTCTTTTATATGTATTGCCTCAATAATCATTGCATACATCTTATATGTCATTTTGATAGGGGGAATGATCCCTATTATGATTACACTCACCCATGTTTATAGGTAGGGGGAGCATTCGCTCTCTTTTTATTTTGTTGATTTCCCCATTTTCATGTTGCCAACGGGGGAGAAACAAGTGAGTAGTGAACTTTTTATTTGTGCATTTTATATTTTTTTAATCTATTGAGAAAATTGTTTGTCATCATAAAAAAGAAGGAGATTGTTAGGACTCATGTTTATGAGCCTACTATCTAATCTAGTTTTGATGATTAACAAACAATTTATAATCGTGTTTTCTAGTATTTTTGTTTCTCCGATATATATATCCAGGTTGAGTAGACTTGCGCCATATCGATAATATTTTAATGGAGCTGATGCAATTTAAGTCAAAGATTCAAGAGCAAGCTTCATACACAATCTACTTTAGTATATTTGTTTAGGAGTTATATGTTGTGTGATAATAATTTAAGCTCAATTTTATACACACGGTATTTTTTTTATCATAATATGTGTATTTTTTAGAAAATATTACGTTCTTGGTTTATGGACTAAACAAAAAAAAATACCCCCAACAGTATACGCAACATAGTTGCGTATATTATTGGGGGTATTTTTTTTACATCTTTTCCTAAGTCTATAAAACCATTCAAAAGATTTTAAAATTTGGTTTAAGTCATTTTATCAAAATCAAGTGTTTTAACGAACACGTATTTTTTAAAATTTTACAAAATGATGAGTTTTTACTAACGAAAAATTATATTTAAAAAAATTCTTTTGTAACATGACAATTTTCATGATTAGAAACATTTTCCCAATTTTTATAATTTTTAGAATTTATTTGCTATTTTTAAAAACTCTTTGAAAATTAATTTTACTATGCAAAACTGTCCATGTGCATGTTTTCAGTAAACTGACAAGAGTCATTAGTTGACTGAAGAAACCCGCTGGAATTGCTATTTTTTTTTGCTCAGTCGACTGATCTCCATCAGTCGACCGAAGCAGCTCATCAGTCGACCGACGGGTTTTGAGCGGTAGCCAACGGTCAGCTCATCAGTCGACTAACAGCTACTATAATGGCTTGTTTTCAGTTTCCTGATTTTTAGGGATTTTGATGTTTTTGTTGGTTTTTTCTGGGTTTTTAGGGTTTGTTCTTGGAACCTATATACCCTTTAGCCTCAACATTTTGATTTATCTAAAAAAGTTTAAAAAAAAGGTTTTGCAAGTTTGTTTAAAGGTTTTTAAGTATATTGTTTATGTGAAGAGAGTTTCAAAAGAAGAGGAGATAATTTCGGTTTAAGCTTCAATTTCATATCTCCATCTCTCTTATTTTTAGAGAAGTTTTTCTAAACTCAATCTCTAGCAATTATATTTTGGTTATCATTTCAATAAGCTAGATTTTTAATTGAGTTTATATATCTTATTACTCATTGATTACACACACAACCTATTAAGCTTTTATTATTTCACATTAAGTATAATTTGGGTTGTGGTGAGTGATTCATTGGGCGTGAGCTTAATTTCATTCTCATTCTTGTTGTAGAACAAATCATTTATATTTGAGCCTTATTATTGAGAAAATACATTGTAATACACAAAGATACTTAGAGAAGTGGTTGATGAGAGACGAGTCAATTCCAAGAGGAGTGGCATCGGTTATAAATCTTAGGGAGATGTAGTAATTTTGAGCACTTGAGAAAGGTGACACGGACTAGGCCAACACTTAGAGGAGTGTATTATGTATTAATAATTGTGTGAGATTGTAAACATTATTGGTGAACGTTGAAAATCGAATTGTGTAGTTATTTTTAAGATAGTGGAGATTCTCCTTGAGGGTGAGGAGTGGAGACGTAGGTTGTGGGTCGACCGAACTTCGTGATCATTTACCTTGTGTTTGCGATTATCACTTGTGCACTATCTCTCTTATATCTTGTGTTCATGTTTATATCACCCGTTGTTTAATTGCATATCCTTGCACATATATTGTTGTATATCATAAATTGTTAGGATATTTGTTAATAAGTTCTAATTTGGCATTAATATCGGATTAGATTAGCAATTAACCTATTAAATCCCCCTCTATGGCACTTTTAGACTGATGAAGGTCGGTTGACTGAGGAGAAACTTTTTAGTAATTGCAGAGCAGTTTATCAGTCGACTGATTAGGGGTGTGCACGGTTCGGTTCGGGTCGGTTTTTACCAAAATTTGAACAACCGAACCGAACCGCCTAATATTCAAAACCGAACCGAACCGTTACAAGTCGGTTCGGTGCGGTTCGGTTCGGTTTGTTCGGTTTTTATACTCTACAGTTAAATTTATGTGAAATATACAAAGAAAAAAAAATCTTACCTCTGAAAGTATCAACATATCATTCTCTGATACTTCTGCTGCCAAAATGGAAGGCCTTCGCACCACAGTCGTCTCGGAGTACTGCAGAGCTCAGAAGTATACAATAATAAGTTAACGAAGCAACACAAATCTATATAGCCCAATCTCACCGAAAGTAAAAGAAAATCACATAACTGAAACGAGCAATACTTTGTGGAAAGCATGAGAAGCATATGATAAGCTAAAAACCAAGTAGAAGTATGTTCTCTTATCTATCCATGATTGAGTATACCTTCTGCAAGGAGGACAGACGGTCCACTGTCAATGCATCAGCTTGCACAACTCCACAATCCAGCACGTCCTGTCACCTGCAACTACCATTAAAATATCAACAAAGAAATTGACAGTTTCTCAAAAAAAAAGGAGGCTACTCTCTATATTTCACCTTGCTAATGTGGAGGTTGGGAGACTGAATCTCGCTAGTAAAACCAAAGTCCGGAGCACCCGTAACAACATGAACTTCATGCCCAGCTACAATTAAAATGTCGCACAACCTACATCAAAACCATGGATCCCAATTGAACTCAAGCGTTGAAAATCTTATCAAATAAAACCATGGATCAAAATTTTGCATTTTCTGACCCCATAATTAACACAAAGCCCCTAACTTTCTTTTTTCTTCATTCCACTAAACAAGCATACAGCTTAATCTTGAGCTAGCCATCTGCTCTCTACTCTTTAACTAAACTGCTAGTCTACTGATTCCGAGTTTTAAAGATGCAATAATTTTCCAAACCAGAGATCTCCAAAAATGGAAGGGGGGAAACCAAAATTGTCCATCTGAGCAAAAAAGCAAATACTTCATTTCAAAACAAAACAAAAAAAAAAAGAAAAAAAAGAAAAAAAGAGGATCATGGGATCTCGATCGCCAGCTTCGTCTTCTCGATCGCCATTTCTCTAAGGAGGCGGAGTTCCGAGCGGCTAGCGGCTGAGGAGTGACGAGTGAGAGAGAGTGAGAGAGTAGACTGAGGAAGTGAGAGAGGCGGACAGAGAGTGAGAGAGTGGCGGCTGGGAAATGAGAATGGGATTTTAGGGATTGAGGGCGTGAGACTGAGTTTGAGGGAGGGGTCACGGGTCGGGTTGAGGGTTAATGCCAATGGGTACTGGGTATTCGGTCGGTTCGGGCGGTTCGGGTTGAAAAATTTTCAACCCGACCCGAACCGTCTCATTCATAAAACCGATTTTTTTGGATCGGTTCGGGTCGGTTCGGTCGGTTCGGTCGGTTTGGACCGAACCATGCTCAGCCCTAGATATGGGCAAGGTGATGGTGTCTGTAACAAGACCACCCCCTTGAGTGAAGATCCTCTAATTGTTGAATTTTTGAGTTTGAGTTAAGAGCTTGGAATTCTAAGTATCAACCTAGTCTTCCATTCTCCTTCCTAATGTACATCCGGCAACTTTCACACGAAACAACATTAAATTCCACTAGTAAGCACCCATCAAATGGATGATATGCCAACACGTTCCTTAACAAATTCCTTCACAGGATCGTAGCAGAGCAAATAGTTTGAATCAGATGCGACTAAACAAGATCAATGATCAAAAGCATACTTCAAAGCATGGCAAAATCCTAAAGCTATCGTCAGATTCTAGTATCAATGTGACAACTTGCGCGATGCGAAACTTCATACCTGAAATAGGCCAAGGTTCATCGCTAGAATTGATGGTCAGGTTTCAGGTTTTATGGGCAACACTGTCGACCGTGTGCAAAGTGAAATGTTGAAGTCCTTGCTATTAGGAACATAATCCAGTAGCTCTTCTTTTTATCTGGAATGAAAATAATACTGAAGTTCAAGTCCAAAGGGCATAGTCTGAAGTGATTCTTCGCAAGGATTCAACTTAGAAGAATGAAGAACCCTTAAATAGTTCAAATTTAAAACATAAGTCTGACAATTTCTCAATTCTGCGTGTCATATATTTCCTTGGTTGAGTATGTAGAAAATAGATGATAGATGCAGTACCAATTATCATAAAACTCATTCTAGAAAGTATCACGCAAATCCCAACCAGCAAAAAGAACATGAAGTAGGCCAACTTCCAAGTCATTTCCAATGTTTTAAACAAGCACACTGTGAAGCACTCTTCCCTGCGCTTCAAAGCATAGCAATGACAATTCAATATAGCCTACAGGGGAAAGCTCGAAACTGTAAGGCTTATGCTATTTGGTATGAAGTTCTACTTTGCGCTTTGTGCATCGGAATATTCACTTTATTAAGCTTTTCCTACCTCTAATTTTGCTCTACATCTTCAAAAGATGAAGAGTTGAGAACCTTGAAAAATTGGGACAAAACCAGCTCCTAATACATTTGTTAATTTTCATCTTTTATTTATGCTCCGTCTTCAATCTTTCTATTAAAGGTTACACCCTGTTTTCCAATCACTGGCAAGAATCATGACCTGAAGTTCTTTGCAGATACTGCTTACTCTTTTTTTATTTTTTTGAAACAGAAAAACAAGGTGAGGTTACATGTTCATATATATATATACATATATAGAAAAGCCAAAGTGAAAATGTACAAGATCTAACAAAATAGGGAAGGGACGGAATAAAAAGAAGATGTAGCCGGTAGGGAGCAGACCTTGTCGTCGCCATCCATGCTACATTTGCCTTGTTTCCATCCTTCCAGGGATCAGGCTATAGAAGAGTCTGCTGATAAAGTTAAAACAACATAAATAATAAAATGTACAAGATCTAACAAAATAGGGAAGGGACGGAATAAAAAGAAGATGTAGCCGGTAGGGAGCAGACCTTGTCGTCGCCATCCATGCTACATTTGCCTTGTTTCCATCCTTCCAGGGATCAGGCTATAGAAGAGTCTGCTGATAAAGTTAAAACAACATAAATAATTACAATACATTATACTAGATACTTCAAAAGGAGAGCGAGTGAATCATGCTTAGAAGTTGTCCGCTGCTATGTCTCTCACCCCTTCTTTGGCCAGCTCCTTTAGACCGAGATCAATGGCAACCTTGTGAAGAGAGAAGGTCCTTCTACTACTAGATGCTCCTGTCCAGAACAGGGTAAAACGAGTAACATTAGAGGCTATATTGTGATGTGAAATATGGACATCGTTGAATATGAGGTTGTTTCTACTATTCCAAATCCACCACCAGCAGCAAGGGAGGAGAACCCTCCAGAGGGCTCTAAGCTTCAAATTAGCCAAGAGGTTGGGCTTGGCAGAGATAAGATGGTCCACTTCTAAGGCCAGTTCCCGATTTGCTTGTATAGGATGAGGAATGACCAAACGTTTCTAGTGAAAGAGCAGTTATTAAAGAGATGGTTATGAGATTTAGTTTCAATGCTGCACAGAGAGCATATGGGGTCTCATGTCCATCCTTTCTTAGATAGGTTATCCTTAGTATTAAGTTTATGATGACTCAAAATCCAAAAAAAACCTTAACTTTGAGAGGGACAGAGAGCATATGGGGTCTCCTGTCCATCCTTTCTTAGATAGGTTATCCTTAGTATTAAGTTTATGATGACTCAAAATCCAGAAAAAAATCTTAACTTTGAGAGGGACAGGAGATTTCCAGATAAAATTTGAAAGATGGTAGGTGGTACCTCCGAAGTTGAGAATATTGTAGAAGGGCCTGACTGAGAACTCGCCTAATAAGAGATGAGGCCATGTTATACCATCTTGGACTGATACATCTGGTGGCTTGGTTGACTCAAGGAGAAGGTAGAACTTGGTGATATCAGATCTCTCCTCTGTTGTGGATCCTCTTCTGAGAATTGGGTACCATTTCCAGGTGTTATGGATGAATAAACCTTGAGAGTATGTAGAAGTGTTGTGGGAGAATGATAATTTGTACACTCTGGGGAATAGACTATGGAGAGTGTTGTTCCCCAACCATCTGTCCTACCAAAATCTGCAGGTGTAACTAGCTCTGAGAGTCTAGCGGACCTGGCTAAATAAAGGGTCTTGAATTGAGTATAAGTCTTTAATCAGATTAGATGACAAAACTTTTGGGGGATTAGATACAGGGGTGAAGGCGTTTACAGAGTAAATGGAGAAGATGACTTTGCTGATATAAGACTTATTGTCAATGATTTTCCAAATCCATTTAGAAAGTAGAGCAAGGTTGAATTGTTGCAAGTTAGTGACACCTAAACCTCCTTCACTCTTAGATTTACAAACTCTACCCTAGCTGACCAGACATTTAGGTTTAGAGGACTGTTGGTAGCCACCCCAAAGGAAATTGCTTCTGATTTTATCAATAGTTTTGATGAGCCAACTTGGAAGTTTAAAAAATGACATGTAATATAAAGGGAGAGAGGATAGAATAGAGTTTATGAGAGTAAGTCTTCCACTAATAGACAGAGACTTGTTTTTCCACAAAGCTAACTTCTTAGAGAGGGAATTTAGAAGTGGTTGCCACTCCCGTCTAGTGAGGGTGCTTTTTTTGGGAGGAAGACCAAGGCATGAGAAGGGGAGGGAGCCAATAGAACAGTTAAGCTTGTTTGCTAGATGAATTCCCCTACTAGGGACTTTGCCCAGGTAGTATAGACATGACTTAGAGTGATTAACATTGAGACCTGAGATGTTGCCAAAAATGAACAAGATGGTTTTAAGGGTAATGATGTCATTATGATATGCTTTACAGAAAATGAGAGTGTCGTCTGCAAATTGAAGGGTTCTTATAAAATTTAGCTCTCCTTTAATGTTAAGATCAGAAAGGTCTCCTACCTGAACACTAGCAGATATCATCTTGTTTAGGACATCCACAATCAAACAGGAAGAGCAAAGGAGAGAGGGGGTCACCCTGTTTTAGACCCTGATGGCATTTGAAATAGGCAGTGGGAGAACCATTTACAAGGACTACAGATTTAGCTGAAGAGATGATGTGGGATATCCAGAGGCACCACCTAGGGCTAAAACATTTGGCTTTAAGAAGGAGAGAAGGAAGACCCAATGAACACAATTGAAAGCTTTGAAAAAAAATCTACTTTTATGGTACACAGTTCTTTTTTGCCAGAAGAGCAACAATTAATCATCTCATGAACCAGAAGGATTGAGTCAAGAGAAGATTTGCCACTTTGAAAAGCAGACTGAGATCTGTCTACCAAAGATGGAATGAGAGGCTTGAGCCTGCTGGCTAATATTTTGGTGAAGATCTTGACTGAACTATTGATCAGGCTAATTGTAAACCCTGTAGATTTGAGTTAATAAGTAATAATTTAAAATAATAAGTGATTGTTATAAATAGATATTTATCATGATAAATATCATTAAATGATGTATGAGTATAATGCCAAGTATTTTGAGTGTTAACGAGTACATACATGTGAAAGAATCGAGTCGAAACAAGCACAAGCTAAGAAACCTGCACAAACTGAAAAATGCTGGCCGACCGATCGCCACACAAGGTCCGATGGATCGCCGATCGATTTTCCAGTTTTTCCAGTCTGTTTTGGAAACGGGTTATTTTGAGGCCCAGTTGCACACAGAAGTATATTTTAAGTTTCCAAGAGCTTTGTGAAGTAATTTTTGATGTGTAGGCGGGTTTTGTTGACGTGTGCCTTAAGGATTTGCTTTGGTGTTGCACTCTCAGCTTTCAACTAAGTTTTCAGGCAAGTCTCATCTCTGCTAACCCTACACCCAAGTTTTTAAAGGTTTTTAATGAGTTTTTATGTGATTTTATTGAGCCAAATCGACTAGTTTGAGTATAAAAGCAATTCTTTTATATTATATGAATAAAGATCAGAGCTTTCTATGTTTAAAAGCTTAAGAACGAATTTCCAGAAGTGATTTAAGATCTGAAAGTAAATAACAACGTGGTTTAACTTAGTTTTGATGATTCTATCGACGTTTTGATGTTTTCATACATGTTTAGTTTACATGTAATATTTAATGTTATGATTCTTGTTTCATGTGTTGAATAATCTTCAGAGATGTTAATTTAGTATTTGCAATGTTCTATATAAGTTTTAAAATGAGTTAAAAAAAGTTAGAATCATGAAGCACACACAAACACGAATCTGCAGTAAGCAGGTTGAGGACCTCTGGCCGGTCGACCACTGCATAAGGCGTGGTCGACCGCTAGGCAAATCCGAGCATGTGCATATTTTGACTCATGTTTGATGGTTTCGAGGAATTTTCTCAATCTATCTAAGATGTAATATGATGTTTATGACCTATTTAATACCTGAGGTGTTTATGAACATGAAATATTGGCACGCACATTAAGATATGTTTACTAATGCTTGATCTATGTTCTTAAATAAATATTTTTTGCATAGTGGAGATGCACAATATATGTTTGAGTTGATAGGTGTTGGTATAACACATGATAATGTACACTTATCTGTTGGGGATGTTTCGGTGTGGACGTTTATCCCGTAATGAGACCTCGGTGGCACCACACTAGGAGTATTTGGATGTTATCTCGTAATAAGACCTCGGCGGTACCATTACTAGAAGAAAATATTGTTGGGTTTCTAAATACCAATCTCTATTTAGAGTTATATGAATGATTTTTATAGCTATATGTACTAACAGTATTTTCTTATATACTCCTACCCTTTCCTTCTACAGCCAGCAAGTCCGACATACGGAGAGTCACAGGTTAATGGGATTGCATCTTAGATTCCATCTAGTTATTTACAGTTGTAGTTATTTCAGAGCTCCACATTTAGTTGCTTATTTTGAGACCCTAGAGATTGTGATTCTATTTTGTAGAGGCTGAGTGCCTTAGTGAGATTTTATTTGACTCTTGTGTTGAGACATATTACATTTTATTTTAGATTCAGAGTTATTTTATTCTATTTTAGTAAGGCCCTAATAAGGGTTATTTATACATTTCTTCTATGTTTAATCTATTCATTATACTATTTTACTATTCTTTACATGTTTGTACCTACATATGTTTGTTGATTCTTCTAGAGAGATAGTAACTGTGATGGTGAAATATATTGTTGCACGGTATTAGTGTATGGCGGGTTTGACATTCTAGGATTCACCTTAGACTGTATCCTTGTGTGAACCCTAGGACGTCACAGTTGGTATCAGAACTCTAGTTTCGATATGCCTAGAATCATCCATGTGTCATATTGTGGAGCTAGGATAAAGTTTCCTAGGAATTATGTATAGAGTCCGCTAGGAATTCCTAGTATGAGTGGGGACGTTATATATATACGTAAAAATTATAAAGAAAAATTTATGATGAACTATTTGCTTTGAAGTCTAAAGCATACGATGAATGATAAGTTATATTTTATCTTTATTCTTGAGATCCTATTTACTGTGTTTAACAAGCCCTACTCCTAAACTTATAGATATCGAGAAGAGAACGTGGTCACTGAGGTACCCGTGCTTAGGGAGCTGAGCAAGCTAATGGTAAGCTCGAGCCGCAGCAGGCTCCGTAGTACTTAGTGGATCTCA